GTGTGCCATGACTTTATGGACACACTGCTTAATTCATTCTAAAATGCACAAAGAAAATAAATATTTCCTAAAGTAACTAATACCCATCAATAATGGTAAATAATGAAATTTAAAACTATTCATTAAATTTGTGAAATAATTAAAAATAAATATTCTTCAAGCATTTTCAATAAAATATTGCATGACATGTCAAAGTTGATAAAATTTTCCTAAATAATCAGTAAAAATATTTTTTTAAAAATTAATTACCTGTTTTATATTTATCATTATTTGTCGTAAGCAATTTATAATAAATATTCTAAAAATTTTTGCAAAATAAAAATTACATGTACCAGTCAGATTTTGCCAGTGTAATGTAACTTTTTAAAAAAAAAAGAGGGTAAACCCATATTTTTTCAAACAATAATTTAAATTAAAAAAGTAACCATAGAAACATGGGATAATTTACCCTAATCAAAATTTGCGACAATGTTTAAATTATATTACAATGAATTTCCATTAGTTCATATATTTTTGTACATATCAATATTTCCAACTATATACAGTACATTTTCAATCCATTGTTTTTCTTTTTAATTCTTCAATAAGAGTATTCTTTTATATATAAAATCAGTTTTTTTTTCTTCATGCAATACTTAAAATTATTTCTTCAATAAAGTTTTTGATTTACTATCAAGGGAGACATTCCACATAATTTTCAGGTATTAGACCAGTTCGTCCATTTAAACAGCCTTCTAACCAGCCTGGTTCCCTTGATTGCCGTACTGCAAAAGTAGAAGTGGTTTAAAGAACACAATAGAATAATAATTACCGATTAATGTATAAAACAATGCTGGATTATCCATTAGGCCAGACTAGGCCATGGCCTGGGGCCCCCTTAAAATGGATTTTTTGAAAATAAATTTTAAAAAATTATGAAAAACAATCATTTTTTAAAAAAAAAATCTATTTCAAATATATATTAATAAAATAAGATAATTTTTTTACATAATGTTAATCATATTTATTTATTACTTATTTCAGTTATTATTTATAAGTATTATTATAAATAATAACTAAAGTATTATTATTTTTTAGTTCTAATTTAACAAAATAAAGTAAAATTTTTATTTCTTTTATTTTAAATATACTTTCTTAAATAAAAAGATACAGTAGAGCGCCGACTATCCGAACTGCTCGGGACCGAGCGTCGTTCGGATAATGAAAAGTTCGGATAGTTGGAAGGTTGTATAAAATCTAGTTTAAATTATCATGATTTATACACTAACTTGCCTTCACACTTTTTCCAGGTTTAGGACTGGCAGTACTATCTAAAATAGCTCTGTTTTAAAAAAAAATTTCAAATTTTAAGTATTTTTATTTATTTTTTTTAAGACTTTTTTAATCATATTTCAACTTTTTAAATTATTTTTTGTCAATTACTGATTTAACCACATTTTTCTTTATTTTCATTACAAAAGAAATCCAGCAAAGACTTTTGTTTCAAAGAAGATGCTCTTTTTTGAGCAGCCATATCCCTTATTCTTTTAAATAAATCAACTGAACTGGATCAACATCATTTTGGCGTTCTATTCAATTCATTGCAATATCGAATGAATTGCATGCTTCTATATGAGAAGGTCCACTATTTTGAACTTGATCACCTACGTCTTCCTCTTCGTCTGTGGAGTTCCGATTTTCATTCAAAATTTTAGCAACTATTTCATCATCATTTGAAATACCTGGACATTTTCAGTGTCTCGACACCAGTCTTCTATTTCGTCTGCAGCATAACCTGGCTTCTTTTCATCCGAATGATCTAATTTTTCAGAAATTTAGAAAAATTGTTGATAAGTTAAAAAGTATTCTAAACTTTGAAAAAAAAAAATCGGACACATTTCGGATAATTGGACGTTCGGATAATAAGGGTTCGGATAATCGGCGCTCTACTGTATATAAATATTTTTATAGTTGAATAAATAAAAAATGTACAAAAAAAAATTCAATCTAAGGGCCCCAAAAATTTGAATTTGACAGGGCCCAGCATAGGCTTAATTCGGCACTGGTATAAAATCAATAATTACTGTTCTAAGGAAGTCACTAGAAGTGTCACATCTTTAGAAAATAATAAATAAAGCAAATCTTTATGATTGATAAAAGTTCATAAGCAATTCCAAACACTCTATGATAGATTATAAGCTATTCCCAACACCCTGTGATAGAGTATAAGCTATTCCCAACAACCTATAATAGATTATAAGCAATTTTCAATGCTCCATGATATTAGTGCATTCGAAAATATAATTTCAATATAATTCATAAAGTTTTTTAAGCCATCTTTAATAAAAATAATTGCAAAAAGAAGGGGATACTACACTAAGGAAATTTTCTTAAGAAAAAAATACTTAACTTAAAAATTTATAGGATACACTTTATTAGTTATTTCAGGAAGCTTTAAAGATTAAATAAAATTTGCGAATAAAAAATTGAATTGGAATGCACAGTACAAATATAATACTAGTGTGATGAATTGCAGCGCATAGAAAAAGATTTAGTCTCGCTAACTGCATAATGGGAAAGTTAAAAATATAACTATTTTCTGCTTTTCCTGTTAGTGCAAAAAATCTGAGAAAAAAAATTATATTTATGATCCCCAGGGCATCATCAGGGCGACACTGTCACGAAATGTTACAGAGTTCTTGCAGAAAGATTTTTCCCTTGGGAAGTTAAAAATTTTGGTTCAGCAGAAATTTGTGATTTTTTTCCCTGCAGGATTGTATTTAAAAGATACATTTCTCAAGCATCAGAGGAGAATGAAATGCTCCTGATTTTTAGGCTCTAATTTGAGAATTTAAAAAAAAAATAGATAATGATTGGTTTCCGCTAGAACTTTAAATAGATAATATTAAAAAAAATCATGAAAGTTTAAAAAGATTAATCATATTTTTTCTTTAAATTTTCAGAAAGAACATAATATTTTATATTTTAATAAAATATGATAGTGAGTGGGGATTTTGTTACCAATTCTGATTTGTAGCAAAAGAATTAATCAATCAATGTGGTACATTTGTCCTTGTTTTTAATTTGGTTGAAATAAAATCAATCCAATATTTTTAATATATTACACAAATGAAAATATTAAATCACGCATTTGAGTCAACACTTAATCGCTCACAATTCTGGACGATTATTTTTTATAGAGTGATAATGATTTACAAAATGTAAAAAAGAAATAATTAGACAGTTTTTTCTTAACAAAATGTAAAAATATCATCAATAATATAAGAATAAAAAAAAGATTATATATTAAATAAAAGAAAAAAATTATATATTAAATAATTTTTTTTTTTTTGCAAACACAATGTTTCTGTTACTCTAAATTAGTAACATATATATTTGTTATCTATAAGAGTACTTTGAAGAAAGATATTAGTGTTAGGGAGTTTTGTAGCAGAAGCCAGAAATTTTTTTACCACAGGTTTTATGATGCAATTCCTAAACCTTTTATATGAATTTCTTTTTCCTATAATTTTTCCCTGATATGGAAAAGCAGAAATTAGTTATCTTTTTAGCTTTTTTTCAAAAATTTACTTGCAGGACTGTAGCACTTTTACCATATATCAAATAAGTTACATATATAATGCATATGTGTACATAATTAATTTTTATAATGCATGAAATTAGCAAAATTTGATAAACAAAGTTTCATTATTTTACATGTTTTATAACTATTAACATATTTAAAAGGTCATGAACATTATTAAAGCTTCAAGGAATAGTGCTATTTAAATCCATGCAAAATAAAAGTTTGCACTATTAGAATCTAATTATAATACCCATAAAATTTATAGATTGTGTATAGAAGGAAACTTGCTAAGTGCAATATACAGTGGTGGCCAAAAGTGTGGACACTTTTTGAAAGTTTCATGTTTTTCAACTTTGTGTGCTTGTAGAGTATATTAATTTTCACTTAAATACAAACGTTTATATATCAAATTGAAGGTAATTTAATGTAGAATTTAATAATAAATACAGTATTACAATATCTGTATTACAAAAAAAGTTATGCAATTAATAGTAAGATCTATCTTAGATTTGCATTTTTTNATATCAGTAGCTACTTTCTTGTATCAATAAGATATATTTCATTCCAATCTGGTAAGTGTTCAATTCAGTAGCTTTTCATTGCAATTACGATACATTTTTATCTTAAAATTACTGTTTATAAATACTTCAATATTACTTTGCCGTAGAGGTTTTGTTTCTTTGCATAATTTAAAATTATTGTGGTAAGTCTAGGATAGGGCAAATTTATATATATTAGAGGGGAGGTGCCCCAAGTCTATTTACGCCACTGGTAATAAATCAGCGATACATTTTTGTGATAAACTTCATTTAAAAAATATATGGATGGTAAGGAAAACCAGTAAACAGGAATTAATATAAAGTTGGAAATATATCAACCAATAGTTTATTATTTGCCAAAATCCCATAACACATCTTTTTTTCTTTCTAATTACCAAATTACTTTAAATAGTAATTCATATATATGATTTTGATATAGTTCAATATTGTACCTTCCCTTTTCGGGGTATTTTCATTAAAATCTGGTGCTCTATGATTTGAGCATTTCCTTACTTATTTAAATAAATCAACGTAATAATTTAAAGGTACTTAAAAGTAAGCAAGAAGGAAATTTTGGACTAAATTCATAGAGCCAAATTTACTAAAGAGGGCTTTAAATAGAGCACTTACATCTGCAGATAATTTATTTATTTTAAATATTATTCTAAGTAGTAATATATTTTATAATTAAAATTTTGATATGTATAATAGCATTTATCAAAATACTGAATACCACATTATTTAAACAATAATGAATACCAAATCACAATATTGTTTGCCTCTTACTGCAAAATCAACTATAAAGTGCAAATTATACAATCACCAATAATGATTTCCATGAGAAATAATTTTCCATAGCAACTTTTACTATGTACTTTAAATAAGCAAAATAAACATTCAATTCAATATAGTATTTAATTGTATGAAAAGCAACAATCAATTTTTTAAAAAGTATTGGAAATACATCACTCAAATAATTATTCTGCAGGCAAATTAGTTCATATAATTTTTTTAAAGTTTTACTACGCTAAATATATATATAAAAAAATTGCTGTGCTTTGGATTAAATAATAAAGATAATAATTTATTTAAATGACAAATTGTAAGAATTTTTTTACATTTAAAATGTAATTGCTTGAGATATATTTTTCTAAATTTTTTAAAATCATTTTTCATGTCCATTATTAATATCTTATTATAATATATTAAGCTTTTGCTTACGGCACTTAACATGATGAATCCATTCTGATCCACCTATCGTAAAGCAAAGGGTTAATTAATATTTAATTAATGGAATGCATAACTTGGAAATTCTGTGTCTAAAAAATAGTCTAAAATAATCAAATTGAAATTGTCTTTATATTGACAATAAATATGTACAATTTAAAATGAAATTATAACTAAAAATGTTCAACTTTTTTTAGTGGGCATAAATACAAATGCGTCCAGAAAAGTCATGACGCACTTATGATCATTGACTGGACAAAAGTATGCCATGACTTTATGGACACACTGCATAATTCATTCAAAAATGCACAAAGAAAATAAATATTTCTTAAAGTTACTAATACCCATCAATAATGGTAATAAATAAAATTTAAAACTATTCATTAAATTTGTGAAATAATTAAAAATAAATATTCTTTAAGCAGTTTCAATAAAATATTGCATGACATGTCACAGTTGATAAAATTTTCCTAAATAATCAGTAAAAATATTTTTTTAAAAATGAATTACCTATTCCATATTCATAGTTATTTGTCGAAAGCTATTTATAATAAATATTCTATAAACATTTACTTGTACCAGCCAGATTTTGCCAGTGTAATGTAACTTTTAAAAAAAAAGAGGGTAAACCCATATTTTTTTCAAAAAATAATTGAAATTGAAAAAGTAACCATAGAAACATGGCATAATTTACCCTAATCAAAATTTGCGACAATGTTTAAATTATATTACAATGAATTTTCATTAGTTCATATAATTTTGTACATATCAATATTTCCAACTATATACAGTAAATTTTCAATCCATTGTTTTTCTTTTTAATTCTTCAATAAGAGTATTCTTTTATATATAAAATCAGTTTTTTTTTCATGCAATACTTAAAATTATTTCTTCAATAAAGTTTTTGATTTACTATCAAGGGAGGCATTCCACATAATTTTCAGGTATTAGACCAGTTCGTCCATTTAAACAGCCTTCTAACCAGCCTGGTTCCCTTGATTGCCGTACTGAAAAAATAAAAGTGGTTTAAAGAACACAATAGGTTAATAATTATCGATTAATGTATAAAACAGTACTGGATTACCCATTAGGCCATGGCCTGGGGCCCCAAATGATTTAGGGGCCCCCAATGATTTAGGAGGAACCTTAAAATGGCCTTTTTGAAAAAAAAATATTTAAAAATTAAGAAAAACAATGCTTTTTTTAAAAAAAAATCTATTTCAAATATATATTAATAAAATAAGATAATTTTTTTTACATATTGTTAATCATAATTTTTTATTACTTACTTCAGTTATTATTTATAAGTATTATTATAAATATCAACTAAAGTATTATTTTTTAGTTCTAATATAACAAAATAAAGTAAAATTTAATTTATTATTATTTATTTAAATTTTAAATATGCTCTCTTAAATGGAAAGATATATAAATATTTCTGTATTTGAATAAATAAAAAATATACGAGAAAATTTTTGATCTAAGGGCCCAAAAATTTTAATTCAACAGGGCCTCACATACGCTTAATCTGGCACTGGTATAAAATCAATAATTACTGTTCTAAAGAAGTCACTATAAGTGTCACATCTTTAGATAATATTAAATAAAACAAATCTTTATGCTTTATAAAAGTTTATAAGAAATTCCCAACACTCTATGATAGATTATAAACAATTCCCAACACCCTATAATAGATTATAAGCAATTCTCAATGCTCCATGATATTAGTGCATTCGAAAATATAATTTCAATACGCTTCATAAAGTTTTTTAAGGCATCCTTAATAGAAATAATTGCAAAAAAAAAAAGAGGGATACTACACTAAGGAAAGTTTCTTAAGAAAAAAATATCTAACTTAAAAATTTATAGGACACACTTTATTGGTTATTTAAGGAAGCTTGAAAGATTAAATAAAATTTTTGAATAAAAAATTGAATTGGAATGCACAGTACAAATATAATACTAGTGAGCTGAATTGCAGCGCATAGAAAAAGTTTTAGTCTCGCTAACTACATTATGGGAAAGTTAAAAAATATTGCTATTTTCTGCTTTTCCTGTTAGTGCAAAAAATCTGAGAGATTTTTTCTTATTTATGATTCCCAGGGCAGAATCGGGCAACACTGTCACAAAATGTTACTGAGTTCATGCAGAAAGATTTTTCCTTAGGGAAGTTAAAAATTTTGGTTCAGCAGAAATTTAGAATTTTTTTTCCTGCCGATTTATATTTAAAAGATACATTTCTCACGCATCAGAGGAGAATGAAATGCTCTTGATTTTTCTGCTCTCATTTGAGAATTAAAAAAAATTTGATAATGACTGGTTTCAGCTAAAACTTTAAATAGATAATATTAAAAAAAAAATCAAGAAAGTTTCAAAAGATAGTTCAGTCTAGAAATCATATTTTATCTTTAAATTTTTTTTAAAGAACATAGTATTTTATATCTTAATAAAATATGATAGTGAGTGGAGATTTTGTTACCAATTCTGATTTGTAGCAAAAGAATTAATTAATCAATGTGGTACATCTGTCCTTCTTGTTTTTAATTTGGTTGTAATAAAATCGATCCTTTATTTTTAATATATTACGCAGATGAAAATATTAAATCACGCATTTGAGTCCACACTTAATCGCTCACAGTTTGGGACAATTCCATCGCAAATATGTGGGGTTTTTTATAATTTTTTTTTTGCAATTATTGCTACAAATTTTTACTTAGTTTTTTGAAATCCTGATGTCTTTTGCTCAGTTAATATTCTTGATTCCGCGTGATTCTTTTTATATCGATTTTATTATGATATGTGAAGTATGAATTGCCGATTTAAAAAATCAACTCTTTGACATGTTCGGTATCAATGTTAATCCATGTGGTGCGTGTTTCGATCGTTTTCTCGACCATTATTTCTATGCATTTTCACGTTTAAAAAATAATGTCGAATTTTTCCCCCTTACTTATTAAATTATTTTATTGTTTGTATTAATGTGGCGATTTCATCATTTTTTCGGCAGTTATTGCTATTCCTACGGATTTCCTCGGAATTTTTAAAATTCCGGTTATTTTTAAGTTAATATTATTTTTACACAAAAAAATTTAATTGCACATTTAAATAATAATTTTTTGACACATTCAATTTACATTGATAAAATCCATTTAGTGTTTCAATTGAATTTTTGGTAGTTATCGATATTGATTTTTACGTGGTTTTTAAATATTCAGATATATTTCAGACAATATGGGAAACTCAAATCGCGCATTTAAATATTTACTCTTTAACGCACTAATTCTATCGATTGTTTATGCCAATTATAGCTATTAATTTCCATCTAACTCTTAAAATTCGTTATTTTTAATACGATATTATTTATTATAACAACCCAATTTCAAAACGAAACATGCACTGGAGTAACCCCTTTTTGGAAGAATCCGATTTGCGTGATTTCTTTGTCGATCTTCTTTTCGGTAGTTACTGCTACAGATTTCCTGATTTTTGATTATTTTTTATAGAGTGATATAAAATTTACAGATTATGTATACAAGGAAACATGTTAAGTGCAATATATATTAACTTTTTAAAAATTACATTCCTTATAAATATATTTAGCGTAATTCCATACCCATATAGAAAATTTAAATCAGGTCACATTCAAGCATGAGTAAAGTAATTTGTTTTATAACATATTTTTAAAAGGTCACGAACATTATTAAAGCTTCAAGGAATAGTGCTATTTAAATCCATGCAAAATAATTGCACTATTAGAATCTAATTATAATACCCATAAAATTTATAGATTGTGTATACAAGGAAACTTGTTAAGTGCAATATATATATATTAACTTTTTAAAAATTACATTCCTTATAGCATAATAATAGCCATAAAGAAAATTTAAATCAGGTCACATTCAAACAAACTTGAAAGCATGAGTAAAGTAATTTCTTTTATAAATATAAACAAGAAATAAGATAATTTTAAAACAAAATTACATACCATTATATATAATTTGGTTTGGTTCGAAGGAAAGTTCTGATTCATTTTCACCCACACATGCATAAAGGGTTCGGACACGTCTGGAATTAAAATCAAAAATATTTAAAATTCAAAAACTTCATAAAATTTTTATAAGTTTCAAATATTAAAAAAAAAGCAGTTGTTGCTCGTGAAAAGCAAGGTTGTGGTCTTTTATTGATACTATTCTAATGGATAAAATATTATTGGCAAGTCTGTATATTTACATCATTTTAAATTGAACTCCTGAAAATTATCACAATATATGAAATTGGGAAAGCGTTAGTTGATGCTATTACATAATTGTGGCTAAAGCATATGTTTATTTTTTAAAATGTTGAAATGCCTAAAAGCGTTTTATGAATAGGAAACATTTTTATGCATTCTAATAAATCAAAAACGTGATTAACAAGGCATTAGATTAAAATTTATTTTTAATAAAATATTACGCATGTTACGTGAATTTGTAGACAAAAAAAGAACTTCTGCACTTTATTGAAAATGACAAGCTTAGTCACATATGTATCCTGAAAATAGTATTATTTAACTTTAATGGGGGAGGTTCAAATATTACTTAAGCATGTCATCGACAATTTTGGACCCCCCCTTGTCAAAAAACAACCATATTACATAAGAAATTTGCTCTCCTTTAACTTAGATTTTTATGGAAGTAATCTAATTTTAAGTTTAAATTCAAATAAACAATGCAACTTTGCAAAAAATAAAAGTCACGTTTCAGTTCATTTTATGAAATTTTGAGTCAAATATTGCTTATGAATTTTTTCTCTGTTTCTTCAATAGTAACAACTCTTATACTTCAGAATATCCAAGAAAAAGTTTCGTGAATTTTTTCGTTCTCCAAGCATAATTATTATTTCAAATTTAAAATATTTCTAATTGTAATTTTCCCCCCAAATTTTTTAAACATATTTTTTAAGTAAAGTTTTGAAAATATTGTGATTTTAATGTCTTATGTAGCATAGCTCATAACCCCATCCTCCTTGTCTGAGAAGATAAGCAAATCACGAAACCTCTATCCAAACATAACTGTTATTTCAAATTTGAGGTATTTCTAAATGTAATTTTTTTCCATTTTTCTTCTTCTTTCAAATAGAGATTTGAAAATATTGTGGCTTTCGTGTTTTATGTAGCATTGCTCATAGCCTAATTCCCCTTGTCTGAAAAAGTATGCAAATCACGAAACCCCTCAACCCCTCTCCTCTGTTAGATTCTAATGTGTAGTTTGTCTAAAGTAAAAACTCCCCTCGCCATTCGTCTAAACCTGTGGCGGTGACTATAGCAACGAGACATAACTATTTCAAGTAGGGGTGTGGGGTAATTGTTTAAGACAGGTTTCTGCTCGGGTCAGCGAGTGAGAGGGAATCTTTTCCTTCGGTCTACTGTGTTAGCCCTAGAGTGAAGAGAAGCTACCCTCCCTGAAATGAGCTATTCTTGATTCCATAGCAGCAGAGGGCCTCAGACTTTGTAGCGGGGGGGGGGTTCTTACCATAGACAAACTATAACACATCAATAGGTTTGTTATTTCATATAAGCAATAAAGCATTAATCAAAATATATGGTTAAATGTTTTTGAGGAAAAGAATTATTTACCTTCCGTTTCCAGATGGTACAGAAGATGATGATGAAGAAGATGATGTTGATGGACTAGCAGGAAACCTAACAAAGTTTTTACATTGATTTATTTTCAAAGTACATGTGCATTCAAGAGTTTAAATTCTGTCATTAAAAATTTAAGAAAAGCAATAAATAAGAAAATAATTCATGTAATTTTAAAAAAATGTTGTGAAAAATAAAATTTTAGTTAAAACTTTTAAAAACTATACCATTATAGCAAATATTGTAACTATAGCAAGATGCAAATAAAATATAAAAGGAATACATAAAATGTATTACTTACACACTATTTTGTCGTACTCCACTGATAAAATAATCCCTAGAACCTGCAATGTATATTCATTAGATGAAAAATAATAGGAGATCATGTATGTAAATCAAAATAATTATTTATATTCACTATCAAACTAATGAATTAGTACAAGTTTTTTTTTAGCATACGTTTTTCTCTTTATTATTTTTTTTAATAAAACAATAGAGCCAGTAATTTCCTGGATTACAAAACAAAAATTAACCATGGGAAAATTAATTTCAGTTAGTTCATTTTTGTTTTTGCAAGTTTTTTTAAAAGTATATGTGTTTCTCTTTATTATTTTTTTTGAAGTAAAACAATAAAGCCAGCAATCTCTAGGATTACAAAATAAAAATTAACCCTGGGAATATTAATTTCAGTTAGTTCATTTTCGTCGATTTTTTTTTATCTTAAACTTTATCTTACAATGTAGGATAAAAATCAATTTGATTTTGATTGGTTGGAGTCGTTTTAATCAGGATTAGAGCCATAAGAGTGCCCTAAGGGAGCATGCTTATACCACCCTAAAAATTCCAAAATTATCATCTTTATTTGTATAAATGTTATAACTTATTTTTTTAAAAATATTTTTTAACAATATTTGCTGCATGAACACATAAAATCCATTGAGAGTTTTAAGCACAAAAAAAGGACTCACATTTCAAATTTTCATCATAAATATTTTATTCATTAAATTAAATATAGTTTTTAGCTGCTGCTAATTATACGTATTCAGGCAACTCAAATTTTAATGTGTCAGAGATACACTTATTTCTTTTTTACTCTGCGTTCACAGCAGATTTAATTTAAAGAATTCAACTAACGTATTTTGCAATAAATCAAAGAATCGCAACTCAAATATTTTGTACCTCTAGTTTTTAATAAAGTTGTCACATTCATTGGTTTAGAATCATTGAATAAAATATTCATATTGCTTTTGAAAATTTCTGATGGATGCATGCAAAAGTATGTTTTATAAATATGTGAAATAATTATAAATAATTATTAGAAATATTAGAATACGTGCTTTTCTTTAATGAGGAATTAAAATGATATAATAAAATATATACAATACAATGGATGACATTTAAAAATATAATCAGTGCTGTAATTGAAGTAGCTCAGAGTTACAACCCCAAATTCATAAATGTCAATCTCTAGTTTCTTTCTCAAGAACAACATAGTTTTTTAGTTACACAAGTTCTTTAGTTGGTCATGTTAACACAAGGGAAAATTCTTTAAGGAATTACTCAACTCTAAATAAAGTCATGTGATTTACTTTGGAGTTAATAATCGTTAAGTGATTTTATGCAATTTTATTTCATTGTGTAAATTTTAGTTGAACTCTACTTTACTAATTTTGCTATGTGGCTCATATCAAAAATAACTTCATTTTATATTTCTTTGAACCATGGAAATCCTTGTATAAAAATTGTTCCATTTTCATATGAAGATGTGAAAAATGAGCAAAAATTAAAACATGATGCGTAGCCAAATCTTTCAGCAAAAGATAAGCAATTTTAAGTACTTTTTAAGCACTTAAAAATTTTTTTAAGCACTATATACATTAACAAAATGCAAAAGCATTTTCAAAGACTTTACATAATCATAACAAAATAACTAGTTTCTGTCAAAAAACTATTTCTTGATTATATTAGCCATTATAAAATGATCAAGAGATTTTTGGGTTCGATATCAGAGAGTGGAAAATGAAGCCTGAAATTGAGAGTATCATGCAAAATGCAGCAGAGTAGCACATGAGAGTGCAATAATCTCACCGAACCCAGCTCAGTCAACGCACACGCAGACTCGCAAGTATTTCATAAAACTGTAAAATGATTGGCGCGTTCATACTGGACCAAAGGTATGCCGAAATAGATTGTGAAAACGTTGAATAGAACCATGTGGAAAGCATGCTTTTGCATAAAACGTGGCGAAAATCGGTATGATAAAGAAGAAAAAAAAAATCTCATGAAAAGGGAAAATTAAGCACTTTTTAAAAACATCCAATGAAAAAAGCACCTTCAAGGGCTTTTAAAAAAAGAAAATCGAAAATAAGCACCTTTAAACACCTTTTAAAAACACTACGCACTGTGTAATATATGCATTTTCTAAACAGAAAAAAAATACACAAACCTATAAAAAAATTTTTTTTTCTAACCTGTTGATCCATGCCTCTGATGACCAACAACATCTAACGCCGCTCTACAACTCCTCCTAGGTTTTTCTGCTCCAACAGTTACTGGAATAACATTACCACCTCTACGACTTTCTGCAGTTCGGTTGTCAGTCCTGTTGGGAGAGTGGGCTGGACTGTAGGCTGACTTATCCATCCTCCTGTGCTGTGATGGACTAGTTTTTATAGACTGATTAGTGGAGGCATGGTGGTGTGTAGTGGATGCTGGAGCTGAGTGTGTTGCCAATTGGTGATGGGAGGAACTGGTACGTACTGGGGGAGATCCATGGGACAGAGGCTGGTGATGGGATGAACTAGATTTTAATGATGAGGGAGATGTGTGGGTCAACAGATGATGACTGGAGTTTCCGGTGGATCGAGGCGAATGCAAGGATTCTGAGCTGCTGCTACTAGATGTTTGATGATCTGTATTGAGTTAAACAATTGTTTGTGAAGTAGCATTAAATTCACAAAATATCAAAGAATCTACAAATAATTTGAGATCAAAGTAAAATTCTTAAATTTATACTAAAACTATTAAAATAATGACAGGTTTTAAATGACTTACCTAGTTATCTAAAATAATCTCAAATTTTAAACATCAGCTTTGTTAATATTCATAGATTCAATAGTAAATGAATAAAAAAATTTCTAGCTAATCATTTGTGAATTGAACTAGGAATATCATAGCAGCCCCAAACTCAACGAAAAAAAAATCCTCAAATTTTTCTAATTTATTCTGACTGATTTTAGAAAATCTCCCGAATTTTTTAATTGATGGTTATAGATTTTATTGTTTTTTCTGTTCTATTTGTGTACCACAGATGTATTCCAAACACTTTTACTTAAACAAAGATATTTTTAAACAATTATTAATATAAGCTGAACAAGCATGTGATTTGGGAAACAAATATTTAGATAACAATAAAAAGAAATAATGAATGACACACATATTTTATTTTATGCTCTGCTGTTTATGAGTGATCAATAGCAACTGCACGAGTAACTTTTAGAATCTGTAGGAAACATTTTATGTCAGTTCGAAGAGATGTCTACGATGAAATAAAGTTTTTGCAATATATAATAAAAAATTTATTTCAACAGAGCAATATTTTCTAAAAAATGTTAAATCAACTTTTAGCTAATAT